CCTTGAAAATGTATATATTTAAAAAAATTGCCATCTGGGATCAACTTCCATCAACCTTTGACAATATAACATTATTGACAGGAAAACATTGCCGCCATCGAATGGCTTCTTAAGTAAACAACAAAGATGTTAGCCAAGAATTGCATTTCAACTAATCTTGAAGTTTCATTTCACCGAATTAAAATAATTAATGAAATTTCGAAACTAAATAAGTTTAAGCCTTCTACGAACTGATTTATCACTGACTAATTCTCAAGAAGGCAGGCAGGAGGCTTTAAACTGAACTTGTAGAAAAGTTGTTGACAATTATCAGTGGCAACTTCAACTAAAAAAATAAACTAATAGTTACATGGATATATGTGGGAAATCTCAAACAGATATTCGATATTCGACAAAGTATCTAAACATTCTCGATTATGTTTCCTTTTTTTATAAAAATTTCAAGGGATTAAAAACGTAAGATTGGCAAATGATTTTCGATCTAAGAAAATAGTTATTTACAAGCGCTACAACATACAACTGATAACTGCCGAGGAAGATTGCAAGCGAGGATAAGTTTAAACTTCATTGTTTTGTAAATAGAAAATTAGAAAAAGAGATGAATAAGGATTAGAAAAAATATGATAAGTAACAATGAATCAAGGTGGATTTTTAATGGATTAAATAATCCCGCAAACCGCTAGGGTGAGATCTCAAATATTCAACACTGCAATGCCAGGCGGCGGAAAGCGGAAAAACAAAATAAACACTTTGTCGCCATATTTCGCTTTTTTTTTTCTTCGTTTCTTCTTTCCTTCTATTGACGTAGCTGATGCTTATTCAGTGTAAACCCAAGCTGTAGAACTTAAACCGCATTTGATGACTAATTGGCAAAATTTAATTTGAATGAATGTCGAGTGAAAGTAAAATCAGTTTGGCAAAGATGAGAAATTCTATAAGCTGTTTTCTGTGCCCTCAAGGAGATTTTCCTTAAGCTTCATCAAAACACTGCAAAAGCACTGGTGACGTATACACCGGTGACGTATTAAGAGAAGAAAACAAAAGGATGAATATGGAGTTAAGTAGTATCACTGTAGTGAAATAAATGTACTCTGCTGCAAAGAGAGTTCGATAGAAATACTTCAAATATTCCTCATTATTAATTTGAGTTTCTCTCACTCTCAGTCGTTGCCTAAGAATTATCCTGTTGTCCAATGGCTCACTTCTAGCACTGTCAAAATGTCTAAATATGTTGTATTAATCAAAACAACAAGCCTTCAAAAATTAATCAATACGGCTACTCAATATTAAAAGCATTTTCCTTTCATTTGCTCTTCTTTTATGTTCTTCAAAATTGGTAACCAATATCTAAATTGCTTTTCTACATTAATAGGCTGCATATTATTTTCTCCGAGCGCCTCAAAAGCCTGCCGCTTATCGTGGGACCCTGAAGCAACACATATATATTCCACGTTGACTCAAATAAGCGTATGATTTTGAGGCTTACTTGGATAATAGCAAGAAAATCTTTGCTTAAAAAAATAAAAGGAAAATTTTGTCGTAATTTTTTTGACAATGGCATTGTCTAGTTCCCTGTGCTCTCACACACGTCAGTTTTCATTTTACATCAGAAAGCGACACAGATTTTAAATTATCACGTGACAGTTATTTTCTGCCATTTCATACATGGCATTCAGTCCGGTACATCGGAGTGTGCAACCCAAGCTATAAAAGAAAAAAGAAAATGAAATTTTTTCTAAATCATTTTGATTTTTTTTTTTAGATTTTTGGACAAAAACAGGAATCGTGAAAGAATAAACTACAAATGATCTCCGTTTTCCGTTTAAACAAATAACATTTTTATTTTTTCCTACAAACATTTTAGTGGTTGCGCTAAGATTACATTGCTTTTGGCCATTAATTCTCTTTTTACCTGAAGTCAGGCGGGAAGACTGAACAAAGCGAAAAGAAATCCCATACCTGCTTATCCTATACCAGTTTTTTTGCTTTTTTTTTTTTTTTTTTTTTTTTTTT